TATGCATATAGACACACAGACATACACATACACTCAAACACACAGACACACTCAGTTACACACAGACACAAACCTAATACGACACACACAGACACACAGAGAGAAACACATGCTCAATCACATACATACAGACAACTCAGGAGCACACAGACACACACAAACACTCTGACACACACTCAGACACGCCACACACAGCCCTGCCTGAAGTGGACACTTCAGTGTTTCCCGGGAGATACCACTCACAGGCCTTCCATGGAGAAGTCCACAGTGAGAAAAGCAATAGGAGGCACACTTCTGTGACAAACGTGACCTTCCAGGAGGCCTGCATGGCCCTGCCTTTGGAGGATCAGTGAGCCAGAGGAGGGCGGAGGCCGGAGCATGAGCCCTCCAGGAGGGACCTGCTCCATCCACTTCCTCGTGCCCTTCACACTCCTCAGCCCCCCGCATGACCCCTTATGTGTGAGGAGGGGACCGTGAGGTCTGCCCCACGGGAAAGAGGACGGGGCAGGGAGCTCAGAGCAGGGTGCTCAGAGCCTGCCCTAAAGCAGCTGCTCAGAGAGCCCTGCCAGGCCAGGTGTGGAAGCGGGGAGTGAGTCCATGTAGAGCCTGGGCGACCAGCCCAGTGCACCACATCCACTGCTACTGCTAATGCCGATAATTAACATTTCATAGCACTTACTAGAAAGGCTTACTTATGCCCCAAAACAACCCTACGAGGCGTGTGAGCAGTAAGTACATCAGTCTCACAGGTGAAGAAACACCACTTGTGAAGACATGGAGACACTTGCCCCAGGTCTCCCATCCAGAGAGGGGTGGCACCTGGAAGGGAGCCCAGGCAGCTGCTGCACAGCTCCACATTCTGCCCACTGGGCTATACTGCCTTGTACGGTGTCAGTCTCCTGTCTGTGGTCCTCGGTCCCCTTCATGTCCCCATGTGAACGTGAGGCCAGAGGAAAGGAAAAGGCCATGGATCTGGCTCCAGGCAGACCAGGCGTTCAATTCCAGCTCTGCCCCCTGCCACTCCGCTAATCCCTTAATGCTTCTGAGCTTCTGGTTCCAAATGGGGACGGTATGACCAACATTCATGAGGAGAAGGTATCATGCCATGAGATAATGGATGTAAAATGCCGAACACATCATTAGCACTCAGTAAAAGTTAGTTTTAATTATTATTACTCATATTATTATCCATATGTTTAATTGCTAGTTTAATTTATTACCATGACTAAAACATTGCTTCATTAACCCATGATTACCAATGAGTCTGACAGCAAACCCATGGTGATTTTTGGGAGCCCTCTTCAAGCTCATGACTGTGGGCTTCAACCTGCAAGCTGATACAGAGGTGGCACACCTGTCTATCTATGGGACCACACACTATTCTCGGCTTGCTCTGCCTACTGTCATGATTTCTACCACCTGTCTACCAGTTAGCATTTGACTGCTAACCAGAGGTTGGCAGTTCAAACCCACTAGCCACTCCATGGAAGGAAGACTGGGAAATCTACTTCCATAGAGATTTACCACCTCAGAAACCCAAAGGGGGTCATTATGAGTTGAAATCGACTCAATGGCAATGAGGTTTTTTTTGTTTTTG